TGAGTGTCGTTAGGCTTCTTGATTTCTTAAAATGTAGGGCCGTGTGTGTTGCTCAAGCCTGGTTGAATCCAGGGTGAGGTACTGGAAGTTGTGGAGCGGTTTACGTATCTTGGAAGTTGTATTAGTTCTGACTGTAGTGTGGCAGATTAGGTGAATGCACGAATCTGCAAGGCCCGGGCCGCGTTTGCTAACTTGAGACATCTATGGCGTCAGAATGGTTTATCCCTGAATCTGAAGGGACGAGTGTATCAAGCTACAGTACGGGCTGTTTTGTCGTTTGACTGTGAGACTTGGCCTATTCGAGCAGCGGAACTGAGACGTCTTCAGAGACAATCGTTGTCTCAGAACCATAGCCTGTGTGGGTTGGTGTCAGCAAACCCGTAACGAGGCAGTTGGATGGCGCGCTCTCAGTTGTGCAACGGGTACTTCCATTGAAGAATGTGTCCAGCACCAGAATCTGCGTTGGTTGGTACATGTGTTGCGTATGCCGAACCATCGTTTGCCGAGGAGAGTGCTGTTTTCCATGCCCAACTCGGAGTGGCGTAAACAGAGAGGTGGCCAACCCTTGACTTGACAGAGGAGTATGAAGGAGATCACGGGTAGCATGGGTGCTGTCGGTGCTACTCGCCTTCCAGGATGGGGACCGCGTGATCCTCACTACAAGACACTACAAGATATGCCTGCCAACCGATGTCAGTGGCGTTCTTGTTGTCAGTTTCTGTCCAGATCGCCTGAGTGAGTGTCTGGAGGTATAGACACCTTGGAATGATTGTGTTAAGTTAGAACTAAGTCCCTCCCTCATCCACCTTTATTCTTTTCTTCACGATAAGGCTTTCAAGTTAGTCATGGTTGTACGGCAGTGAAGCATCGGTGTTGAACACTGATGTGATGCTGTCTATGATGTTCATGGTGACATGCGCCACAAGCGGTAACTGAAAATCGGGTCCCCAGTACCATCAGCTGCGGGGATTGGGCCATGTGCTACACATGTGGAAACATGATCTGACGAAACTATAGTCGTTACCCGTGCCTCCTACAGAATAGTACAAACTGCGTGGTGGAAAACGTGTGACTGGGAGGAAGGATATGAGAAAGAGACCGCGAAGTTGACAGTCCCTTTTCCAGGATGCGCTAACCTGCAGACTGCGAGGAATAAAAGCGAGTCGATTTCAGTGGCGTTTGTCCTGTCAGTTGCTTTCCAAAATTCTGACGGTGTACTAACCTCGAAATGCGTCCGACAGGCGAGCACCAGGTTCCCCTTTCCTCCCTCGGTGATTGTATGGTAGTAGAGCGCCAGATGATAAGGGAAATCCGTGACTTGCTTTAACCAAATAAAGATGATTCGTGTATATCTTTGTAATCTACTACTCATAAGGTTGCTGAAAATCCGTCGACAGCCCACGATTGGTTTCGCCCTTTTTGTGGCTCATCAGGTAGGCGCAGTCTCCGGGTTTCCGTCAACCTTATTTTCTACTTGAAACCAAATTGCACGAAATTAGCGAATATACACTCCTTTGCAAACTAATTTGGTTCTTCGAGAGACTCAACTGTAACCCAGCTGAATCTCTCGTTTGTGACTGCGCCTACCTGATGAGCCCCAAGAAGGGCGAAACCGGTCGTGTGCTGTCGATGGATTTTCAGCAACCTAATAAGTAGTACATTGCAAATATACATGTATCCCGATATTTCAAATATCGTAGCGACTGAAACATGAGGTGGCCTGGTGTAGCACATTCAGTTGCCTGAGAACATCACAAACGAGAGATTCAGCTTTGTTCCAGGTGAGTCTCTCGAAAAACCAAATTAGTTTGCAAATGAGTGTATATTCGCCAAGGATGATTCGTTTTGACAGTAGCCTGTATAGCTGTTGTAGGTGTCGCCGTCCGCCCAATTCGGCGTTCAATTCTGATATTGTTGGCTAATTTTGTGTCCAACCTGTGGAAGAGTTTCTTAATAGAGTCGCCATCAACGTCATTGACAGCGACGCCAGATGTGATCATTGGTGCTTCACCGCCGTACAAACCTTATAGTGGAAGGAAGGGAGAAATGGGACGGGATTGGCCTACCAGAAGGTACCTACACAACTCTAACACGTAGTCCGACCATCTTGACAGAAGCTGACAGCATGATCACCACTGACTTCTGTTAGCCACATCATTCACTGTCCCTACTCAGGGACGGAGGGTCACGTGGACCCCAGCCAACAGCACTGACAGCGTTCTCCATCCCCTTCCACCGAGTAAAATTCCTTCCATATCTCGGATTCCGGGTAACCCTGAATTAGGTCCGTTCATCACGGTAGGTACGGCTCACTCATCCTAGCTTGTAGTGGTTGGTGAATTCTTTGATTGTAGAACCATGTGCTTCATTGAAGACCCGCGTTCTGATCAACTCATTGCTGTTTCCATCTCACTGCTAACAGAATGGGCTAAATTCGTTCCAAAATCCGTTCACTAACAGCACACAACTTTTTCACCAACTCTTTCAGCTTATCGGCCTCATTATTCTTGCCCAAGGCATATGGGTCGTGGTGGATAGCCGTTCCTTCTTCGAAACCCTGGCATTCTTCAGCAAGATGGACTCCAGTGTCCTGGAACTCTATGCCGACACAGAGTTTGTCCTGGCAGCCGGAGGCGTTCTGATAGGTATTGGCACAATCATGTTCCTGTTGAATATCATTGGATGTTGGGGAGTGGTCAGCGAGCACAGAGGCCTTCTAATCACAGTAAGCCTTTCGTTAGTTATCTATGAATATTGATAACGCTGTTCGTACATACGCCCCTTGCATTTCACTTTAGAATTCTATTCCTCTCTGACGATTCTCTGAGGGTTTCTGTTTAGTAGGTCCGTCTGAACATGAGCCGCCTTTTAGTGTCGTATGGGGAAGACCACTCCTTGGAACTTGTCCGTTCTGAATGCATCCGAACACCCAGCTTTCCTCGCATTTCGCTGAGCTCGAGATGGCTTGGTGTTTTCGGCGCGAAGGTCTATATTTTGAACGCAGCCTCGGCATCTTGGCTGCTCCTGTCCAAACTTGGACAACTTGGCAGTATCTTAGCCTCAGTGGTTCCTCCGGGTGACGGGACATCTAGACAGTGAAAGCGTGTTAGAACTGAACCCTCCTTCGGTTACTCAACTTGTTTCAAGTGGAAGGCATCTCAATCCGAGCAAGGATAGGTCTGATGGGGAGCCATCGGCCGAAGAACCTAGCCAACAAAGTCGCGGAGCAAAGCAGAGCGTTCCCAAGTCGTTGACTAACAATGCAACTCATAGCCCTCTGGGTCAAAGAAGGTTTCCCGGATTCACCAAGTCCCACCGCCTAAAACTCGCATATCAGCGAATGAGTCGGGCAATTTCACGTTCAGTTACCAGATGAACGGAGTTCCACACGTCACCCATACTGTCCTGTGTGTCCCGTGATAGTCAATTGAAGAAGCCCGCCGACTAGAAGTCCAGGACTACCCCGGATGGAGTCAACAATTTCAGCTATCCGCACACCCGTTTGCAGATCATAAATACATAATTAATGTAAAAAGAGGAGTCATTGCCTTTTTCAAGCTATTCTAGCCGGCCTGACTTGGTGTATGGAGGCCAGCCATCCCTAATAACCGAACGGATGTGTCACATGCAGGACACGGACCAATCGAAGGCAAGCGCTGATTGGTCAGAATGCCAGTCAATCCGGATCGACGTTTCTCGCACCCCAGTATTGGCCGAATGCCCGTTGCGCATCCAGAACGCGTCAGAATTTCCAGAAAGTTATTGCCGCCTACGCTATATATATATGTATATATATATATATGAAGCGCTGTACAATTGTTCCTGACTTGGTCTGGGGCGTTCGTATACCTTGTGCACCTTTGGTCGTTGTTTTGACGTGAATGCTAGCTTGGGAGGCTCAGACCGATAACTAAGCTGAGAAAAAGATTGTTACCACACTTGGTGCTTGCGGACACCTTCCGGAAAACGGTCTGACCGGCGGTACTTCTACTCTCTGCTCCCAACCAGTCTATTCGAACCAAGCCTTCTCGGGGACAATGGGTGCGGTTCCCCATCACGGTTTGGATAACCCTTAGCTGGAGTATTCCGCCTACTGGCCTCGCACCATCAAAATCACCGTTTGAGAATGACATTCACGCGGCAACGAGGTGACATATTCATGCCTGGAGCAAAGCTCATTCTCAGGTGACCAGTGTGAATGTATCATGGATGGGAGTCTGCTAGGAGCCGGTTGAGTTCGGCACAAACGTTGTATTGATCGAAGCGGTAAAGGGTTCGTTTTGGAACAGAACATTCTTACTAGTGATGAATGTATTTTTTCAATGAATCGTATGCAGTCTCATACATAAATAGCAGATGGTCCGCATATGTAATATATCAGTAATTATACAAGCGAGATGGTCCAAGTGGTTAGAGCGCGAATTTGCTGATCGGAAGGTCCGTGGTTGGAACCCGACCTCTGCCTCTTGACTTCCCTTGTCTATGCTTGGCTAACCTGGCAGTATCTCAACCGTCGTGCAACCTTCGGGTGGCATGGCAGCTAGGCACCGAAAAGGTGCTACAGCTGGACAATTTTTTATAAGCATACATTTGTACAAATATGCAAACGTCTTACTGACCGTATGCGTTCAAAGCGTGTAATTCGTCCAACGGACCGGTCCCTATTCGGTCTTTGGTTAAACGAAACCGTAGCGAATCAGGTACCTGTTGGAATGACACGGAAATTAGACACCAATATTTCCACATTCATATATACCAACCTAGTAACACTCATTGGATCTTGGATGGCGCCAGACAAACTGCATAATGCTTGTTTGTCCAGCTCGATTTCAAACGGTTCACCGAGGGCTTATTTATCGGATTGTCTGCGATCTGGTAATCGATGGTGAATCAATGTTCAGTGTTCCTTTGTTCCTTCCATGTTGGGCTAATAAAGGGAACCAGTGACCTTGCCTGCATCTGATGTCGTCCGTATCGACACCCCTGCTGTAGGCCTCTTCACAACGACTTGCCGTCTGTGGAGATCATTTTTGGTCGGTCCAGCCAACATTGAATAAGTTCGACTAAAGCATGCACATCTACAGACGTATCCCAACTCAGTGCTCGCTTGATGGAGGCATAAAACGAGCGCAAAAGTCTCTTTTCCAAGCCGGGATTTCACACAACGTACACAGGGCTCCCAGAGCCCACAGTCTTAAAGGGAACACTTTCATGTTGGTCCCCGTCAGCGGTCCTTGTGTTAGGGTGTTCAAGCCAGACTGCGATACTTAAGTGGATCTTAAGTGAATTAGTTGAACCACTAAGTCAGCTAGTGGAGCTCTAGGCTAACAACTTTTGAGTTCTATTCACAATCAGGCCCCAGTTACCAAGCCCAGTCCAAACTGGTTTCTTCAACAGCCCAAGAATTTCCGCAGCAGTTGCCGGTCATGCTTCAGGCTCCTGTGGAATTAGGTCGCTCATCGATCGCCACTTTGAGGATATTTACTGGTTCGTCATCCGACTTGTCAGACCATTGAAGCACGCATTTCAAAAATGGCAGTTTCTACTTGTCCACATGAGACTATCTGCGCACACCGAGCAAGGGCCGGTGGAGTGCTGGTGTAACGGAGATACTACTGATGGGGGAGCCACGCGAGTAGTATGTTTTTTCGTAAATCCGCTCCGGACTTCTGAGTGCCTGCACTTGCGACGGTTCGGATGCCAATCCATGTGGGTGAACCAGTATTCAACGGTGATACTACTGGTGGATAGGTATGGGAGTAGTAGGTTTTCTTCCTGCAAATTCGCTCTGCGTGTCTTGAAAAGGGAGATCTGTTGCGGAATTTATGGAGTCACTTTGTAGCACTTGCTTGGATTTGAGCAACAGTCAATGCATATCCAGAAAAGTTCAGGAAGAGGCGTTCAAAGAGAAAATGGATATTCAGTTTTTGTAACCAAGATGTATATGAGAGTTTTGCTCCCCTGTCCGATAGTCTGTCACTGTTCAGTCGGCATTTTCTAACAAATAACTCCGCAGCACAGGCCTTTCACTGGTAGCGCGGTCATGACCGAGGTGCAAGCACGAAGTGACACACTCTGTTACAGAGCTTCATTACTGGGGAATGACGAGACAAGTACCTCTGTTTTTTGTGTGACAACCAGATTGGGGCGAGACGGTCCAAGTGGTTGGAGCGCGAATTCACTGACCGGAAGGTCCGTGGTTCGAACCCGACCTCTGCCTCTCAACTTCCTCTGTCTAGGTTTGGGCTTCCTAGCAGTATCCCAGCCCTCGTACAACCCTCGGATGGCATGGCAGCTACGCACCCAAAATGGTGCTACAGCTGAACGGGGTTTGACAACCAGATTTATCATCATCGGCTCCGTGTTGACAATGTCCGCACCACTTGTGACGAAACGTTTTGGGCGAATCGCCAACCTTGGCGAACAAACCGACAGCCACCGGATCAACTACAAGTTAACAAATCCCAGCTACCAGTATTTTCGTATCCACGAATGTGGTAAACTACCTTTCAATAGAGAACGTCGACCAGAATAACATGATGTTAGATCTTCCTTGTGTGTGTCTCCGTCCAGCTTGTCGCGGGACCCCCCTACATGGAACATTCACAGACGTTCACCTGGGAGGGTGTATCTACGTTCGCCACTTTTTCATCTAACTGGCATGATAAAGCGCAGTGACGTAAGCGACCTACGAAAAAAATGTACTCGGTGACTTTTTCCCTTGATCTACTGGAGAGGTCTCTTAGGATGTACTTTCATAGTGTCAAGTAGATCCATCGAGGTTCACACTTTCCGTGGAGCTGGTGAAAGAAAGAAGGCCCTCGCTGTTATTTATTAGAAAATACCAATTGACCAGTTGCAGACTGTCAGTGTTGTGGAATTTAGGTAGCTCGGGTACGCTGCTTGGTTGTTGGTCTGTTCGCCGAGCTTGGTAGTTGGATTGCAAACGTTTCACCAATCGAGGTGACATCTTCAATGCACAGACGATGTCACCTCGATTGGTGATGAAACGTTTGCAATCCAACTGCCAAGCTCGGCGAACAGACAAACAACCAAGCAGTTACAGACTATTGGACAGGGAAGCAAAACTCTCATATGCATCTTGTTTACAAAACTGAATATTCATCTTCTCCTTGAACGCATGTTCCTGAACTTTCCTGGATATTCATTGACTGTTACTCAATCGCAAGCAAATGCTACAGAGCGACTCCACGAATTCCATAATAGATCTTACTTTTCAAGAGACGCCAAATGGATTTACGAGAAAACATGCTATTCGCATGCCCCCCATCAGTAGTACCACTCTTACACTGGTAGTCGTTTTACATACGACTCACCACTCCCCTTCGCCATTTCAGATTCTTCACGTCGGACAGTCCCGTCATAAATGAAATGTGCAATTATGTATGACTACTTCCCTTGGCCTTAAACTTGATTTTCACGTTTGAAGAAAAGTGCTCACTGGTTCTAAGGAGGGGGTCACGTGACATGGCATCTTTCAACTAGATGTACCACACCAAGGCCACCTCACGTTTCAGTCACAGCGAAATTCAAGGTAACACGGGATACTTCGCCGAAAACACCACATAAGGTGAATGGGAACTTTAGTCTGTTAGGTTCCACCAGATTTGAAACTACCTCAGGTGGGCTGATGGGGCCCCTTTTGGGAAGGAATAAAATCGGTGGACGTGTGACTTAACTAAACTTCTCCATACGTCTTTGAAGCCACTTTCATTCGGGAGGAACAAAACCTCCTCTATAATTCGAAGATCCCTCTAGCATCGCTGCCAATCCTCATGTGGTGTGATTTATGGACAATACCGGGTTCTCTCACCTGGGGTTGTATTAAATGTACTTCACACTTTCTGACTCAGGGTGAACACATTGGACCAGTTCGCCCATTTTGCCGCACAAAAATTGAGCACTCATAGGATGACAAGGTTCAAATCCTACGTGAAATCCAGGTATCCAACTCCACGACTACCTCTGACGCAGGGGTTTTCAGATTTTGAGGCTCGGCACCGATACCTGGCGGGGGGGGGGGTGCCACTAATCAGTATGCAAACGTTGTGGCCCGGGGCAACAGAGATCTACAAATTATTCCTAGATGAAAGTCTTCATTACTCCTGTGGTACTCTGTCTGTCTTTTACAGTAATGTCGGCTGATTCGATGCCAAAACGGAATTTTTCGTTCATCTATAATGAGTCCCTTCGACACTAGCCTGTGACATTCCAATAACCACGAGAAGTGCGGTAGACTAGGGGTTCATCATCATTATCATCATCATCGTCATCATCATCACCATCATCATCAATCGTGAAGCTGTTGTCTCGCTGCTGTACTGAGCTTCATGGTTGTTTGCGGAATCCGATCCTGTCGAGGAATACGCGCTTAGACAGATTAAGGTCCACAGTCAAGTTTCTTAACTGAAAAGCCTGACTGCAAGACAGCATCTGGGCCGCTAGCCTAATTACAAATTTCTTAAGGAACCATAATTTAACGCACAACCTGTGGGACCAGGTGTTTTGACCCGTAGTGGCCATCAAAATCTGTCCCACTGATTTATTTTCAGGAACTCTACAACGTCCATATACAAGGTGTCTCATAATAAACGCAAAAACAATACCCAAGTATAAACTTTAGTACCAATTTAAACATTTATTATTTTTTACTTGGACATACGTGCATTATGAAGGTTTGTTGTGAATTGACTTGCATTACAAAGGATGTTGAAATGACGCACCCCTTTCTTCTATAACAAGTTAGAGGCGGTATGAGATGTGAGACACATGTTTATCTTCTTCACGCATTACTCGTGCACACTCCTATTCTTGCTCATAACTCCATCAAGGTGGCGTCTCATAATACGATGCACGCTGGCGCGGGTAACGCCAGTCAACTGAGACACCTGAGTTATTGACGAAGATGTCATGGTGCTCTGGGACTGAAGTTGCTCGAGGGCATTCTGTACAATGGGTGCTCTTTCATCACTCAGAGAATTTATCCCTTTGCCAGGAACATCCAATACAGATCCAGTGGACTCAAATTTCGCAATCAAGCGTGTAATGGTCGACACGGTGAAAAGATCTTTGATGAGACCATGTTTGGCTTTGTAACCACGGAGTGCAGCGGTGGCGCTTTCACCAAGGGTATAATAGAGTTTCAAAATTCTAATGCGCGTACTGACATTCACCGTAGACAAAAAATGCCAGTACTTGCAAACAAAACATCCTTTATGTGGCTACTAATAATGGAAGATTTTGTCATCCTTTCTTTGATTGGCTACGTTTACTTACCGAATTAAATTTTGCGTTCATTATGGGACACCCTATGTTGAACGTGTTTTGTGAGTTCCCTATTCTCTTCCTTTCAGTACTCGACGTTCATGTCGTTCATCTTCGCCATCACAATCCTTGGCATCATTTTGCTGTTCGCTTTGAGCGGTGTGGTAAGTGTGTTTTTTTTGCTTCCAAGTTTCACTCGCACATGTGATTCCGCCCAGCCTGACCTTTGACCCGGCTAGTGCACCGATCGATTTGATCCAGTATGATGGTGTGTGACGGACGAGCACAATACTTGGTATGGTAGATTGACACAAAGATGCATGTATCTGCTAGCCGATAAGTAGTTCGACGCTGGCTGTCTGCGCTTCATCATCATCATCATCATCATCATCATCATCAGAGTTGCTGTTATCAGTAGACTGATTTGGACCGGGGGTGGGCGGGGTGATTCGTCATTATTTGAAAATCCGTTCAATACGAGCAGTTTGTGGATTATGCCGCTGGGACACCCACCGTGTACTTCCGGAAGCTCCAATTTCCTCCACGACTTTCACAAACCCATCTGACTGGCAAGTTGTAGTCACACAGTGATGCGACAACGTGGATGGTATGGAAACCGATGCGTGTTTAGTTGTAAACTTCACTCTTCTGACGCTCAAATTGCACGATGAATCCAATAGGCGAAGCGGTTGGTCTGCTGGCCCCCTCTCCTTTTCGTTGGTTTCAAATACACTTACCGATGTTACTCAACTTGTACGCAATTAAATTGCACGCAGTGTTAAGGAGTGAGAACACAGTCAGGGTGTGACAAGTGCTCGTTTCCATGGTTCGAGTCTCGAATTCGCTCGAACAGGATGGCGAGATGGACCAGTTGGTTAGAGCGCGACTTGTACGCAAATTGCACGCAGTGTTAAGGAGTGAGAACACAGTCAGGGTGTGACAAGTGCTCGTTTCCATGGTTCGAGTCTCGAATTCGCTCGCTCGGGATGGCGAGATGGACCAGTTGGTTAGAGCGCGACGTTACTGACCGGAAGGTCCGTGGTTCGAACTCGACTTTTGCCTCTCGGCTTCCCCTGTCTAGACTTGGGCAACCTGGCAGTATCCCAGCCCTCGTGCTTTCCTTGGGTGGCATGGCAGCTACGCCCCTTGAGTTGAGCGACACAACTTGACCCTTGTGAGGAATAGTTTCACCACGAGTACCAGCTTTATATGCATTCTGGTTTTGTAGGGTCGGACTATTGAACTTTGCGTTTGATCAAGACTGGAATGACTCTACAGCAGTGTATCTGAGGGGAAGCCACCTGAGAATAGGGTAATCTTACCTTTCGTGGAAAGCGGAATATCCTCGGCTCGGAGGTCCACAAGCCGTGCACCAGAGTGGCAAGCCACAAATCAACCACAGAGTTTGTACTGTCACTGGAGCACGATACCTCCAAATCTTTCCATTCCCCACCAAGACTAACCGCTACTGCCTCAAGATGAATTGTATGACTTCTGTCTAAGCTACCTCTGCTTTTTTTGCTGTTCGAATCTCGTGTTCGAAATCAAACCTACCGAAATATCTGGTCACTCCCAACACCACGCCAGAATGGTGGTAGCTCGGGTAGTGCACATGGTCGTTAGTTTGTTCGCCGAGCTGGGAAGTTTGACTGAAAACTTTTCATCGCAAATCGAAGTGACATCAGTGTTTTGAAGCGATGGGTCCCTCGACGAACACATAAATCTATATGGCTCTCCGGGCCCTTAGTGTCAGACGAGGGGTGCAGCGAAGATCTGAAAGGTCACTTCTGGACCACGTGACATATACCCTTTCAATCATGGTCGTAGATATGGAGACTTTAAGGGTTTCCGCATAATTTTCAAGGTTGAACAGATTTGTGGCTTCCTCATTGTGGATGAAATAACCCCCCGGGATCTTCAGCGTAATACAAACCTAAAAGCAGGTATCGAGAGGTCTTGGCGGTGGGTGGGCCTCACCGAAGAATTGATGTTTTGGCTAAACAGAATACGCACAGTTCAGACAACAGTGGTATACATGTGGAGGTTAAAAAGACTTTCGTGATCGATCGCAAAGGGTGTCTGGTCAGCGAAAGCCTCGTTAAATCAGAGTTCTGAACAGTTTTGATCCACAAAAGTGGGACGTTCATGTGTTTGTTCCAATCACACCAACCTGATATTCTTGTCTCTCATCTAGCTACACTTTTGTTGGCCGCGCAAAGCGATGGAGTTGTTGTCGTCACGTGACCCATGGGTGGCGAAAGTAGACTCTGAACAACTGTGAAAGTTGGTCGACAGATTTATCCTCACTGAGACTTTGAACATGAATGTCAATTCCGCATTTTTAGCGCATGACACCGGTGAATAGTTTTTTGTGTGTCAACAAGCCACTACAAGAGGGCGCGGAATGAAAGTGGACAAGATCAAGCTGAGTACTGTGGGTTCATCATGCCCTCATCGCTGCAGTCCGATTCTCCCTGCACATTATTGAAGACCCTGTACGACACTACAGAGAGCCCCTTCCGGTGGCGCGCATGCTACCAGTTCTCAGTTGGACTCCCCAGTCAGGTCTATCGGGTGTGGTGCGCTGCACTTATATCGACTGAAGTTGAGGCATCTTGACCTAAGATGATACTCAGACGCGTCTAATCTCATGCCCTTGAAAGTGCGGGCACAATCTCAGCAATTTTGTTGCTTGGCAACCTTTCGCTTTCGGCAAAAAGAAACCTTGGTTTTCTGAGAGTTTACTGAAGAAAATTCACTCTTTTCGCTCTGTATCTTGGCTTAATTCATCCCGGTTGCTTGATGGCTAGGAGCCTGCGTGCACAAGTGTAGAGTGCGTCCGTGGAGACTGGGATATACTGTGCACAATGACTTAAATAGCAGGCACAATTTATTAACCTTGACAAATTTGAAATTTAAATTTGAAACTGCACATCGCATGACGTTACAGTGTCCAAGTAAATTCTCAACTGCGAGCCGGTCTTTATACGCGGATGAAAACTGGTTCAAATCATGTAAGCTGCTCTTGCGTACATGCTACGTGCTTTGTGCCTCGCACGAGGACCACACACACCTCGTGAGTAAAACGGTTACGTAGGCTAACACTTGTAATAATGATAGCGCATGACAGTCGTTCAGAGTGTTGTACAGGGTAGATTTCTTCAGTAGCTTGGTTGCAATAACCCAACGTTTCACGTGCAATGCACACGTGATATTTCATTACCAAGCCTTTGGCAATCCTTCGTTGTCTTATTACAACTATCCCGCTGTTGTGAGGAGGGTCTGGCCTTCAACCACTATCATAACCCTGTAAATGAAGCATCAGTTTTGCCTAATCTCCTGATTTCGCTATAGAGTGACGCTCGTTCAGCGTTCGCGTACTAAAAGACACCCGAATATGTTGGCCTGGATGGGGTCTCAGATACTATTCTTTCGTTGCAGCTTCAAAGCTATTTCTTCCTCCTTTCATTGGTGTGTTTTTTTAGCCCCGAGCTACTTTCGACACATTGGTAAATTTACTGCGGGCTGGTTTCGGCTCCAATCAACTACTAACACTTGAAAGTAGTGCTAATCGAAATAATAATCGATAATGTGTGTGACGCCCGTCACCGGAAGAATACACGAGGGCTGAGATACTTCCAGGTTGCCCAAGTCTGGACAGAAACAGTCGAGATGTCCGGGGTTGGGTTCAAATCGCGGACCTCAATCACCAAAATTGCGCGACAACCGCTGAGCAAAAAACGGGACAAAATAACTCAGAGTCTTGGCCCACTCTTGTTAGCAAACGTAGACATGAGGCACGGTGAGGCTTGGGATGGTGGTTTTGTTTGAATATAGCACAACCGAAAAGGCCACAGTAACAGCGCTGAGAGACACCGCCTGTCGGTCAGCGAGCTGACGACGGTTCACAGGCACCCTTCGTCATTGGCTCTTCTCCACTCCGAAGCGGGTTTTCTCGCACCTGATACATGTTCTTAGACTCCCCATTTCAACACCTTCGTTTTCGTCATGATTACCATTTTACGTAGTTCAAACTCAACCCCGGACATCCTAACTACTGCAGCTTGGGCGGGCTGGCAATATCTTACTCCTCGAGCTTCTCTCAGGCAGTATGACAGCACCAACAATGTGTAAACACCCGTCTATTCAGTGTTGCTTAGTTTGCTGAGTCCGTCGGCGTCTCGTGATGTGTGTAGGTCACCTCTTTCCAGCGTTTGAACCCCTGTTTGACTATGGAAGCCACATTCACCCAACCGTGATTTCTCCAGACTAACCCACCTACTATGTGTAGGCCACCTCTCTCCAGCGTTTGAACGCCTGTTTGACTATGGAAACCACATTCACCCATCCGTGATTTCTCCAGACTAACCCACCCACTTGCATGGTTCAGTGAGCACTTGAAAGCAAGGAGTGTATTCGCATTTTGTGTGTGTGTGTGTGCACGTGACCTGACCTTCGTTACTCGTTCAAATTTCAGTGGCAAGCCGAGAGTGTATTCGCATTTTGTGTGTGCATGTGACCTGACCTCCGTTACTCGTTCAAATTTCAGTGGCAAGCCGCCGTGAATACGACCGTTTCACAACTGTTTTCGACAAATTATGTTGGTACACTCGGCGCCCACGAGGTTTCCGCCTACGACCCGTTCTCGCTTGCCATAGACGCAGTTATGATCACGGTGAGTTGATGGTTCCACCAGTCAGTGGAACAAATCGGTGTCCGACCACTCACAATTGCCAATTACTCACGCACAATGACAGTTTTGCTTTTTTGTTGACACTGCCTCATCTCCGATAGTTTTGGTTTCCTGTAAGCACGTGGTTTAAACGCTCTGTGCATACTCTGCGGGGGTGGGCGGTCACAGTGAGTAGTCAGATACAAGGCACCGACGTTATTTTTGCCGCCCAATGATCAAGGATGTGGTAGAGAAGACAGACAACCTTCTAGAATGGTTATACTGGGCTCTCGGTCCGGAGAAAACATGGTCGATGTCATTTCCAGACGTCCTTGATTAAATTTGGAAAAAGAGCAAAGGAACCTTCCCGAGAAATACACTCATTTGCAACTCGATTTGATTTTCACGAGAGACTCAAGTGAAACTCTCGTTTATGATATTCTACAACTGAATGTGGGTTCAAGTAGAACATGAGGTTGATGGAAACTCGGGGACTGCGCCTACCTGATGAGGCCCAAGAAGGGCGAAACTGGTCGTCGGCTGACGAAGAGTTTTCAGCAACCTTGTGAGTAGTTTACTTCATGAAAAGCAAACGAACCTCTTAGGGGAGCGGCTGCTAGGAATCAAAAATACTTCACTGGTATAAACCACTGGCCGAATCCCAGTGGTCGGGAGTTAGGACCACCGGTATTTCTTGCAGATTCTTCACCTTCGGAGAGTGCACTTTCCATTGTAACTGAATTAAATGTTAGGGGCCGTAGTGAACTTCAACAAGTTTACTCATCATCTAAAGGTTATCCCTCCTGGATGCCGTCTAGAGTACCTCTGTGGCGTTAGTACTCGGATAAGCTTCACTGAGTCCCACGATGCTCCGGGAATGGCCAACACAGTACTAGTTCTGCACACCAGCCACTATCCTCGCCTAATTCTGCACTTGGTTGCACCACGTTTCAGTTCAAATGTTGCGGAATCAACGGTCCAGATGACTTCTCTTCTTCGGCTACTGCAAAGGCTTGGTTTGCTAATGGACGAAAATTCAAAGAACTCATCGATGACGCCGTTGCCCTGCCCGCTGCTTGCTGCCGCTACACAAACACCTCGTTCTTTGCCAATCGTAAGTCACTCCCAACATTTTCTATGTCATACTACTTGAGTTCCCCGCCATTCTCTCAGGGTCTTTTTGGCTCTGTAACAGAAGAAACCATTGTGCTGATTACTAACCGATCGATTTATTGATTGGTTGATATCTATTTGACACACAAGAAAGCCCTCGCCGAAAGTTTACTATGCCTGGAGAGAGAGAGTGCCAAACAAATCAATTCTAGGAGCGCAGTGTGTGACTTCGAAAATGGACACATGTTGACCGGAAGTACTACTCATGTCCTGTCCAATGCGTCGGAGTTACGTTCTTCTATCGTCTACATGTGGACAGGGAAACCACTTCTGGGCACATGCATTCAAGAAGGAACCAGTATTGGTGGTCAACTTCTTCATCACCATCATCATCGTCGTCATCGTCATCATCGTCACCATCATCATCATCGGAGACCGGAACATCTTTGTTGACAGTGACGCTCTAGTCCCGTTAGACCGCAACGTTAAGTTACTTACGCTTAAAGCCTTAAATTGAGCTGCAAGACTTTAAATAAGCTTTAGGTGAGCTCAAGATTCGTAAACTTATTGATTGGAAGGTCCGACCCGACCTTTGCATCTCGACTTTTCCCGTCAAGGCCTGGGCAAACTGGCATTATACGGGTCCATGTACTTCCTTTGAGGAGCCTGAACGCTGGATGCTACAGCTGGAACAAAGATAGAAGGGGGACAGAAGAGTGTGGGCGAGAGAAGGACCTGGTACTCGCCTACCACAAGCGTTCCTAGGTTCCTACAACTCCAAAAGCTCAATCTGTCAGTGTTGAAAGAACGGCACTGACAATTTACTCCGATGTCTTGAGCAAAAATCAAGTGGAGATCACAAGGACCCCATCCTAGAAGGCAGATTGCTCCATAACCACCCAACCAGACCTTTCATTATCTCTTTTACACCATTCCAACACCACCTTGCAGTTTGCTCCATTCTCAAGGTAGCGTAGAGAACAACACTCGTCTCAGTGTGTGGACAATGTTCTCGCACGCGTAGCACATGGCCACCGCGATTGGTGCTTCTTGATTTTTCCTGTTGCATAGAACAATACAGTCCTAATGCTTCTTGATTTTTCCTGTTGCATAGTACAATACAGCCCTTACTGTAGCCTGGTACACATGTACCTGATGAGTTTGTGCGAATCATACTCGTTCTTTATCACCATAAGTGTTAGAGCATGCTTAGTGAGGGAAATCTGAAGTCACAGACTGGCTTGGTGAGTGTTCATCTTCAAGATTGGTCGCTGATCTGTTCACCGTGTTTGACATTTGACTGGAACACGTTTTTTCGTTCCCACACAAGGCGCAGAATCGGCAGGCGATCAGGTGCAAAGTGGTCGCTTCGGACCCGTTAGATATCATTGGTTCAAATCTCAGTCAGCCAATTACAACAACTTTGTGGATTCATGGTTTAGAAAGAAAACGGTATTTTAAATCAGTACTTTCAAGTACGAAATAGCAATTGGTTCGTTCGGCTTCTTGGGGAAGTAAAACACTGGGGTTTCGGCCTAAACTGAGTTATTTGCTAATGTTAGCAGCGATCGATAGGCGCATAATTATTGATTGTAACGTACATGTATGTGATTGACCGAATTCGAGGAGCATTATTTTAAGCGTGTCATGATCATGTGACTCGTGACAGTTCGCCAGTGGAGCTCACTAACTTCTGGATTCCATCAATCTGTGCGAACAAACTGTCATTGAGGTTGAGCACCATCATTTGAAGAGGCATACCAGACAGTTCGGTGCATCACGCAGCACTGGGTGCGTTCGAAATCATGCAAACGATTCAAACGAGGTCAAATGTTTGCCGGGGCTCCAAAACTGCATCAGATAAGTGCACTTGAGCGATTGAGAAGGAATGTGCACGAGGCGCTGTCGTGTCTTGAGGGAGATTTCAGTAATACCTCGGGGGGGGGGGAG